ATTGTGGTGGAAACTTGTACGCTGAGCTGCATTACCATGCATGCTTCCATTTTGTGTTCGCATGTCAGTTGTGTTCTCATGATCCCTGAATTCTGTGTATACAGAAATGCACAGACAGGTGGTCAACTAAACCTTGCTTACTAAATGGAGGAGCCAATGAATCAACACAGGCTTGCAGAAATGCCTTCTAAGAACTTTTTCATAAAGGCCTTCTAAGAAATGTCTTCTAAGGATTTTTTAATTTGTTTTTAAAGTTATGATCGACTCACAAGAAATTACAAAACTAATGCAGAATGGTTCCCTATATTCCTCACTCAACTTTCCCCTGGTGGCAGCATCTTATATATTATTGTTCATGATCCCAACAAGTACTGTACATCAATACTGGTACAATGCAACTAACTACATCCTAATTGGATGCTATTACTTTTTCGTGTGCACTCCTTTTTTTCTTCTTTTTCTGTTTCATTTTGGTATATCTCTGTGGAAAATCCTATCAGATTTCATCAGCTGTAGAAATCTCTATAATTAAGATAAGGAAGGGTCATCTCACCCTACAGGAACTCCCATATGTGTAGCCTTCCTAGCCATGCCCTTTTCTTACTTACCAGCCGCAGGAGCCATCAGTCTGTTACTCCTTCTCCGTAATTTTTTTTCTTTGCAGAATGTTATATATGTGGAATCATATGACATGTAGGTTTTCAAGGTTAACATTTTTCTCTCAGCGTGAAGCCCTTGAAATCCATTCAACTTGGTGCACTTATCTGTGGTTTGTTCCTCCTTACTGTTGAGGAGTATTGATCAGATGGATCTACTACTGTGGCCTGCATGGTCAGACTCTAAACACAGCAGGTTATCCAAAGTTTTCTCTGTCATTATCATCTCTCATGTTTATATCTGTCACAAGTAACACTGTTAATTTTCCCTAGAATTCTTCATGTGCTTATAATCAAATTCTCTATGACTCATGCTCCTTATCATTATGCTGGAGAGGAATAGCTCAGCACTGAAGCTGACCCTCCAGCACTGCCCCAGTGAGAAAGCTTCTTTTGAGTAGTAAAGACAAAATGCTAACAGAAGCTTGGCAAGAGATTGGAACTGTACATGCTCACAGGAAGTAACTTTGGTAAATATTCTTAATTTATTCTATTTCTCATACATATATTAATCCTTTAGTCCAAGGTTCTTTGGCAAGACCTGTCCACACATTTTAATGGTACTCAGGAGAATTTCTTGTTTTGTTTTGATTTGTTTTGTTTTGGTTTGGTTTGGTTTGGTTTGGTTTTTCTGAACCATGAGTCACTTAGTAAGTCTGAGACCTAGGCTTTGGGGGAAATGTTTTTAAAGGAAGAGCAGAGATACCTGATATAGCTATTGCGAGAGCTGAATTTAACAAATCAATATACACTAATATTGCACCAAGGACTTCGGGTTGGTAAGGAGGTAGTGGTATAAGTGGGAAAGACATTGACAGCATTTTCATCCTCAACCTGGTGGGCTGGCATTTTTCAAAACAGTAATGCTTCAAACACACAAAAGGATTCCCCCTGGTGCTCAATAAGAAACACTTTCCATTTTCTCTTTTCTCTCTCTCTCTGTCTCTCTCTGTCTCTCTCTTTTTGGTCTCATACTGAGATCAGGGAAAAGAATAGTGAAAAAAATGAGTGTCTGATTTGGTGAAAGCAAAGTGCTTTCTTTGTTAGGAGGACAATGCAAAAATGTCCCCAGGCTTTATGTGTGTATGCTGGAAGGAATGCCTGCTTGCAGAAATGGTAAGCTTAACCTTGTCAGAGTTTCATTTTCCTGAATTATCCAGGCTCAATCTTGTTCTTTTGTTATTGAATACATCTCCCATAGAACTCAAGTGCCTCTCTGAACTGACCTCAGAGTTGCGGGCAAAGAAAGCAGACGGGGTGTGGAGGGAGCCTGAGTATTTCACATTTCTTATAATCAGTTTCTTTCAGGTGTTTCTTCAGGGACTGCAGATCCCTTCACAATGCTCTTGCTACTGATCAAGGAAAAGAAATGTGATCTCGTAGTCTTCTCGGAGCTCTCCACTGAAATGATTCTTTTGCACTAAAACTAGAAAAGAATTCTAGGCCATGGCTGAAAAGTAAGCATTCTTGGCCTGTTCTCAATTTCCCTGAGCCCTAGCCACGACTGGAAATTGTTAAGCAGTCTTTCTGGTATTTTTGGTTTGTTTGTTTGTACTACTTTGGTTTCCTCTCTCGAAGTCAGTTTTTCATGGGGTTGGGGTGGATTGCGGGAGGAAAAAGTAACAGGGTGCCAGAGAATAGAACAATATTTGGTTTATACTGAGTCTCCTGGATGAGACCATTAGCCGGTGCATTTGTAGGCTAGATTTCTGCCTGAAGAGGGATTTCAAAAATTAGAGGAAGTGCAACCACCATTCTGACTGTCAGGATTTGACTTAGAGGTTGGCTTGCCTTCAGGAAGATTAAGGGAAAGTTTTAGCGGGATGATTTCTCACATTTGGTATCCAATTTTTGAATTCTAGATTAAATTAGTTTTGCTGTGTTCTCCTAACACCTGTGAAATACTTTGTATTCTACAATAGTATAGAAACAAAACTAGGGGTTTTGTAAATCTTGGAAAAGGTTTTAAGTGGAAATGTGGTTCAGAAGAAGAAAAGGAACTTTGAAAATAAACAAGTTTGACTCTATTTCCTCAGTTTTGTATTTATCAGATGATTTTTGGAGGTCTGTTACTTGTCCAATCTGAGCACTATAATGCTGTCTTTCTGGGTAGGCTGTCATGGTGATGATAATGTGTATGAGATACACAGTCCAGAGAAGTTCAATAAAATATGATTTATTATTAGAAACATTTCAATGTTGCATAGGCCATGAAAATAGTCTCCCCAAGCTCTTTCCATTTCCCAATATTAAATCAAAACCTAGAGACATGAATTTACCTGTTACAAAAAAGCTAGTGTTATAGATCTTCTGATTCCCAGGCTGGTTTATGTGGAATAATTTTGGTTTACTTTATAACTTATCTCTGTATATTCATAAATATTTACAGTATATGGATGCACAATATTTATAGTAAATAATTTTAAACTAAATTTTGAATCTAGCAGGACAAAATGCATAAATACAGGTGAGGTTCTGCAAGCAAGGATGACATAAATGAAACTCAAACAGATGTTGCCAATTCTAAACCAAATGTTAAATTCAATATAAGGCCTCAAAGATGAGTTCAATTATTTTTATCATAGCCAGCCTACATGTGACTTGCTATCCAATAAATGTTATGCTGGGATTGTTGCATAAAGTCCCCACATTCAACTGTTGTTGCAGCCGATGATATTAAAACTCCTTCAACCACTTTTAAGACAACAAATGACTTTCACTTCCATAGAATTTCTGGCAGTGATTGAAAACATTTAACGTATGCCTGAATAGACAGGCTGTTGAATAAGACGACTATCCCACTTATTATGTGTCTTCCTATTACTGCCCCAGAATGACTGGTCTGACAGTTCTCACCAGGTGACAGTGCCTTAGGTTCCCTTGCTGGTGACCTTTATATGGCAGGCTGGCAGGACAAAAGTGGATATGAATACATAGCTTCAAGGGAGTAGGAATGCTCATTCATTTAAGTATGAAAGGTAGACTGAACGTTTGAAAGTACATCAATAACATGATGAACACATAAGCTCTATGTTCTCTAAATCATATTACTAAAAGAAAATTAAAGTGATTAGTTTTAGTCAATTAATAGACTAAGTGAAAGTCTAAGTAATAGACAAGTGAAAATCAGCCTCCAAGTCTACAACACAAAATAAAGGACACAGAAGGAGGAAGGAAATAAGTAATAATTTGAAGTTTGGAATAGTTTGTGGGTACAGGAGAGACTAGAAATTCTGTGAACAATATTCCTAACCACATTAACAATCCTTTTGTATAACTGTGTAAATCAATGGGAGGAATAAAAAGAATCAATGGCAGGAATAAAAAGAAAATGCCAGAAAGTAAAACTCCACTGAGTTACATTTCAATAAATCTTTCATATTTCATTACTATGAGCCACTTCTTAGGAATTGCTCAAAAGAGAAGGTATCTTAGGAAAACTCCAGATGCTCCAGAAGTTAATTTACTTGCATCACAGTTTACTTAATGGCTTTAGGAAAACAAAAAAGCTTGACCATATCAAGGAACACACTGTAGTTTGCTTTATGGTAATCAGTACAATTTGTCACTGTGTGGGGCAATGTTGGAGGTACATATATTGAAACACCAAAACTTGGAGAATAAGAAAAGAACATGAGTGATTTACCCTGAAGACATATTTATGTTGGTTTTTCATTCCTATTTTTTTCTGTATGAGGACTGAGCCAGGGTCATTGCACTGAGGTATGTTCTCAGTCCTTTATTTAAAAACCTTTTGAGACAGGGTCCTACTCATTTGCCCAATGGGTTTGAATTTGAGATTCTCCTGCCTCAGCTTCACAGAGTACTGAGATGACAGGCATGATCCAGCACACTCAGCTGGCTCCGCAGTTCTGAAAAGAGGAGTGCTAATAGTGTTCTCAGTGTTCTAATGATAGGTATGAGCATTGAGACTTAGAAATATGGCCACAGCCACATAATTAATTAGGGAGTCTCAGCGAAATTTGTCTCACTTTGCCCATAAGCCCATATGCAATGCATAGGCCACTTCAGGATGTTTATCTGTGCCATGGGGATGTGGCAGTAAAAACTTTGACTGCACATTCTCACAATGACATTTGTATAGCTGCTTTCTTATAGGTGATAACTCAAATGACCCATTCTGCCTGTCTTACAATATTTGAACCATGATATTAAAAAAGGAATCAGAATCTCTGCAAAAATATTCTGCAAATGTTTATGAATCTCATGATGTTCTTAAAACATCTTCTCCAGATTTATTTGGCCTTTCTTGTACAAAAAGTGAATTCCACATCATTTCCTCTTAGAATAAACCTAAAAATTATCTCTTCCAGATGCTGCTCAGCTTTCTTTGTACAATGTGTTCCTTGGCAGTGGCTCTATTACAGAGTTCACAGAAGGTAAGGTGAAGGAAACCTTGTCTCATCACGTCCCCCACCAGATTTCCTCTTGTAAACTAGAATAAAACAGAGGAAGATGACTGCTTTATGTCTCCCACACATGTGAATTGTGTTCAAGATGCACAGTCTTTTCTAGGCAGAGTGAAATATTTTATTTTTTCCATTGCAAACATTAGTGGCAACAACTGGAAATTAGCTATAGATTTTCCATATTCTGTGTTCCAAAGCCTTTAAAAATTGCTTTACTTGGTGGCTGTGATTCAGCTCAGTGGCACAGTGCCTGCCTGGCAAGAGAGAGGTCATGAGTTGGATTCCTGGTACCGGAAAAACAAAACAAAACAAAAAAAAAAACAAAAAAAATTGCTTTACCTATTTTATGTGTAACACTTAGTACCAGCCTCTGTTTGATAGTAATGTTACTATTTTACTTTAAGATCACTGAAATTTGAACTGAGAACTACCCACAGACCAGGTGAGAGGAAAAGCAGAATTCAGATTCAGATTGAGCTGCAGAAATACAGTTCCCTTTCCAGACATTTCACTGAGCGATCCCAACGGCTCCTTCAATTTCTTGTAGAATCATAATGTAACAGAGGAGAGAGCATGTACTCAAGAAAGTGCTACACAGAGCAGTAGAATACAGGGGACGGAGGTAGAAAGATGGGGTTGAAACCGTGACTCCATTATTTACTATCTGTGTAACTTCTGCAAGTTACTAAACCTCTCCAGTCCCAGTTTTCTCATTTGTAAAACAGGGACAATAACAGTTGTGGCCCCCTTAGGTTATTATGAGGGTAAGATGAAGAATGACAAACAAGACACAGTCAGGACCACTGGCCTTTACACTCACGGCAAACCCCAAGCACTGCCTACGCAAGAGATCTCACATCTAAGTTTCAAGAAAGAACATAAAATATTGATTTGAATAAAATAGATTCAATACATTAGTCCTGCTATACACAGAGGTGCATTCAGTTTAGCAAGAAGCAAAACAATGAGTCCACCCTGTTTTTGTCTATTATTCTGATACTTTGTTTATAGTCTGCAAGGACAAGTTGAGAGATGGGATAAATGCAGACATTATGGATCATATAGGAGAAACACAGAAATTAAGTAAAATGAGAAAACATAGATACTACAAGTAATAAATGAGAACATGATGGATATAGATAGATAGGTGTAAGTGTGTTTTGAGATTTTTCAGTAGGTGTATGATTTTCACCTGTTACTACTGGGCTATGAAATAATTCATAGATCTTAAGCAACCCATATTATTAACAAAATATAAACCATCTGTAATGCTAATGATTAGAGTATCTCAGTGAAATGATGAATTCATTCAATTAGCATTGAAAAACTAATTTAAACTCCACTAGCAATTCATGAGTATGTTTTTCAGTTCTTGTAAAATATATTAGGGAAAACTTAATTTGAAAGCAGCCTGGGTCTTTAACTTGTGGGATGAAATACTAAAAAGCTAAAATAAGAAAAAGAGAAAATTTTAAATTACAATTAAGCAGACATTACTTCCTGAGATTCGGTCCACTAAATGTTGAATTCTTTTCTTGGAGAACATTCAAGCAGATATATCCTTCTATACATATTAATGGATATATTGTATAAAGAATATCAACTTTAGAATCGGGCCAATATGTGCTCCAGAATTCCCTTTTATGGACATCCAGAACATAGAAGGCTTATTTATTTAACCTAACATGCTGTCAGTTTCCCTATTTTTATAAAAGAGAAAAGGAAATTTGGTCCTATAGATAACTATTCATTGTTATAGGTATCATTCATGACTCAGCCTACTTTTATCACCAATTTCTCCACATATATGCAGGTGTGTGTGGGGGGGGTTGTCTATGTGTAACTGATCTATAAGAGTAAAGGGTTTGTAACCATCAGGTACATAGTTTTGATGTAAGAGTTCAAAAGAACAAATGTATGAAAAAAAACCTTATATATGGAGAAAGATAATAATATGCTAATCAAGGTAGACAGTGTAGAGAAATAAATAACTCAGTTTTATAAGACAGAAAACAGAGAAATCAATAAAGTTATCTTCAGTGTTAATGTTCAGCAGATAAACTTACTCTATAAGGACAAGTGATATGTGATACGGTTAATAAATTTTGGGAAATATATATTTTATGAGTTCTATTAGATATTCTTCAATGGAAGTAGCTTATATTTTCTCTTTTAGGGATTTACAAATCAATAATATCTCTGGAGAGTGGAATATGATAAATTAGAAAATAAAGGAAAGACTTCTGGAACCCTTGCAAACACAAGGTAAAGTGTCCCACTGAAGTTTTGGAGGAGTCTTCACAGGAACAAAATTAACTCTCATGTGGAAAAGTAGAATTAGGTAATGCTCAAATGAATTTCTGCATTCTGTGAAAATATACAAGTGTTTATAGGTGGGAGTGGATCAAGGTTCCTATCTGCTGGAGTTGCTAAGGGTAGAAATCATGGACAGATGCATAGAAATATCCTCCCTGGCGGCTCTCAGGATTTGGTGGTGTTTGATAGGAATAGCAGGTAGATCTCTGTAATCCTAACCAGTAATGGAGAAGAGTGAACTTTTCCTCACATTCATGAGGTGGCAAGAGACTAGTGACTCTAGTGCATTCTCTAGGATAGAGTCAGAACGTCCTATATTCACTGGGGCAAGTTGGGCATAAGTAAAAGACTTAGACTCCCAGCAAAAATCCTTTCATTTTGACAGAAAAACGAAAGAGGATGAGGGAGTGTTTTAGATGGACTGAAAGAAACGGTCATTCAATCAAAATGTGAAGAGGTTTCTGTCATCCCCTTGCCTACTTGAACCTTACTATTTAGAGAAATACCTGCCAAGTACCTTTTACCGTATCGCTGGTTCCATCATCTTTTAATTATTGTGAAACTCTTGTGGAAAGATTCAGGAGGTAGCCAACTCAACCTGGTCATTTGAATTGTCTTGTGCAGTTAACGTTTAGAAGAAGTTGGATATATAATCGTGACATCCATTGTAAAATCCACATATCTCTTTCTGGCTCATCTAAGATTCCCTTTTCTGTATTTCATCCCACTAAAAGAAGTGCTTGAAGCTTACCATGATTCCACGCTACTTAGTTCCTAGTAGTTATCAGCGGGTCATTCTCTTTTGAAATACTACGTTTTAATTCAAACCTGGAGGCTATGCTACCCAACAGAAAATATTTGCAAAAACATTAACATATCTGAACCAAAATGTTAATTCTTAATTACAAATGCTCATACAGTTTTCAGTTGTGACTGATGTTATCCTGTAGAAGCAACCCATATTAATAATTCATTAATTTGGATCATATTAATGTTGATAACTCTGAAAAACTTCTGTGAACTCTCTTGTGTTCTCTAAAACTTCTAATGACCACTGAGTTATGACAAATTTCTCTCTTCCAAGTAGATACAATGCCACTTATTCAAATGAAATTATGGTCTCTCCTATTTAGATTTTCACCATCATCTCAGTCACTTTGTGGTTACTGGGAGACAATACCTGACACCCACAGTCTAAAGGAGGAGAGATTTAGTTGGCTCACAATTCAGAAGTTCTGGTCAATGTCCAGCTGATGTAACCATAGAAATGGCAAGGTGGAAGGGAGTAGGCAAGGGAAGCTGTTCATATCAAGGCAGCTATGAAGAAGAGGCAGAGGGAAGGAGCCCGGGAGGAAGAGATCCTCTTCCAATATCATTGCCAATCACCAGCCTCTAGCCAGGCTCACACCTCTTACCATCAGGTCAGGCATATGGCCCTTGTAATCCAATCCCTTTCTACAACCTTGCTCTGAACACATGGGGCTTGGGGATGACAATTCAGATCAAAACCACTACTATCTTTTATCTTCTCGAAAGTCAGATTATTGTCTTATCATTACAAATTACAGAGTAAGAACAAAATGAATAATTAACAAAAGGACAAGAAAATGCCTGCTATGATTAGTAACAGCCAGCAGCTGCAAAGCATTTGCTGTGTGTTAAGCACTGAATTAAAAACTCTGCGTCAGATAACTAACTCCTTACAAATATCATATGAGTTAGAAATTTAATTCTATTCCCATGTTACTAATGAGGACAGAGAGGTTAAATGAGAAACCACTCAAGATCATAATTGCAATATCACAGAAATATATGCAGCATGTTGAAGTGGATACACCTGGGCTTTGGTTTTGAGCTCTGTTTGGAGTCTTCATAACACAAGCTCCTCACCTTTGCCTTGGATTCTGAACAGTCTCTATATCTTTGTCTCAGCCAAGATTTCACAGGCAGAAGCATTCTCCTCTCTCAATTTCTTCCCATGGAATATTTAGGGAGTAGCAAAAAAATGTAACCTAATAAACATTAGTTCCGGAAGGAATTGCCTTTGTCTGTATTTAGATATATTTGTTCAACTTCAATAATATCTTTATTTGTTCCAAAAGGCATGGGTTTTACACAAACATGTATATATGCTGGCTGAGAATAAAATAAGTATTGATTTTCAACACAGCATTGACCTAGAAAGCATGACTGAGTTTTGTTAGGAGAGAAAACATTTTAGAACATTTTGTTTACAGCTCCATTGATGATGTTAATCATGTCTCTAATATATGGCTATAATTGAAATTCCTAGTATTTTACATCTAATAATAAAATGTTTGGGTCTTTACAAGAATGTTTGTATCCTTCCAATTTGAACTGCATAACTGAGAATGAATTTTTAACATGTAATACTTTCCATATACTATTTTTCCTTAAGATTTTAGATAAATAAGTACTTAGCTTTTAATGTTTTCTTTAAGGACATTCTAGCACACATATTAAAATTTGCCCAACACTATGCTAAAAATAAGGAATAAACTGATCTTCATATGTGTTTGTGTAAAACTCAAAACCTTAGAGTCAAAAAATATTCTGGTATTCACTAACAAGGAATGTGTTTAATGACCCACCAAAGCACTGAAGACATGTCTTGTACTGGATACAAAAATGTGGACGATTCCACTGATATTTTACTTCATCATTTAGACCTAAAAAACTAAATCAAATTTTCATTTGTGAGCAGTAAAAAGCCACTAGCCACAACCAGGAAAGAGCACTTTCATCAGAAGGACATTAAGAAGCTCACAGGGAATTGAGAGGACCAAGGGCAACAAATAGGACTGCTGCTTCTGCCTCTACTGCTCGTGGCAAGGAGGGGGTGTTGGTACCTCCACTTTGAAATGGTTTCTGCACTATTCTAAATGCTGGGTCACCATTCAATATGACATGTTCAGGGCAACATGCTGATTAGCCTTAGAGGCTCAGGCACATGACTATGGTCCAGCTTCCCAAAACTAGGAGGTAGTACGGACCTTTCGGTTTCTGAGCTGGGAACAGCATCAGATGTCTATTATGAAGTGAGCAAATGGGGTTGATCATTGTTCATAACATGAGCGGGATTTTTCACCATTGCCATATAATAATTTTGGAGGAAAGAAGAGGAAGAGAAGGCCAAAAAGCTGTGTTCGAGCATGTTTTATCCTAGTGATTAACTTTGGGGTCAAAACCACAATTTTAGTGAACACAAGAATGGCCAAGCTGTGTCACAGTTTTCACATGGAAAAGATACCTATCAGGCTTTAGTTAGCAAACTAAATGAGCAGGAGGTTTCATCATAACAGCTTTTAAACCTCCTCTCACTTGTATACTTGGGCCCTCCAGAACAGACAGGTAGGAGAATCACACTTTTATATTAATTGTGAGTTTGCTTCCTGCACATTTGACAGTTATGATTTTGAAAGAAGTCTTGAAGCAAATGAAAATCACAACCAATTTACTTATTATTTCCTTTCTAGCTATTTCTACCCCCACTCTTGAGAAAAGCTAGTAAATCTCATATCTTGAAAGTATTACCAAATAAACAATACATGAAATTTTTACAGAAATGGTTAATCAGTTTCCTCCAGTGGTAATGTTAAATACGGCAGAGCTTTTCACTTATCAATGAAAGAGTATGTATACTAGATTTACTTATTATAGTAACCTTAGCTTGTTCCAGTATTTTCAAAGTTATAAAGTTTCCTCTCTCCTAATATAATAAATGAATAATGATTATGAAAACAACCAATATTAACTTGCCTTTGCTGAACCAAACACTTTGCCATTTATTTTTTCTCCATAATGATGTAGTTTAAGCTTGGGAAAATTTCCATTTAATTTTATTTGTTGTGATGTGAAAATATTGTTGAATCATAATGGAAATAGTAGATATACTTGGAAAACTAGTTTCATAGACATTGCTTCTTACCCTGTAAACCTTTACTGACTGGCGTATATGTTAAATTTAAAGTAAGAAACAACAATATGGTGTATGAAGTGAGGCAACCAGCAAAGAGTATATCCAATGTAATTCTAATTTTATGTAGTCTAATAATTGGAAAAAATATTACATGCAGATACACTCCAAACTAACTGTTCCTTCTTGAGAGGATGCTGAATAGGAAGGGATAGGAAGATTTCTGGGGTTTCTGAATATCGGGTTAAAAATATCTCTCAGTTATTGCAGGCTGATCATGTCTGCAATCTCCTGAATGAGTGTACAATGAAGGCTAAATAAAAAGAGGCAAATGCAATGATTTCAGGGCTCCAGGAGGCTCAAAGCCCTCTCAGAGTATTCAAGATTCTCTTAGGGCTAAGACCAAGATCTCTGAATGGCCCGTATTTATTTGCTTATCAGAAGGGAGGGGAGTACTCAAGAAGGGCATAATCACTCAAGGACTTCTCTAAATGAAATATTAAATTAATCCACCCAGGAGTGAGATGCCTGAGGCTATAGTCTTTATGCAGTTGAGATCTGATCCAGGTGTCCTTGGCTGTGATTTTGTCTTAACCTTTGAGGCTTTTCAGCTTCATCACTACTAGACGTTTTAGTAGAGATTAGTTGACTCATAGAGGTTCACTTACTATGAGTCCACTATTTCCAGACAAAGAGTGTAGGCCTTGGAAAGATTCACAAGTAAACATAAAAAGCCAGTTGATTAAGTCCTGCTCAGGTCTGCTTTGTAGTGGTCTCCATCACTTGAGATGTCCTTGATTATGTTAGATGCTATCAGTCTTCATCAATGCACACAAACACATATATATAAAACACAAATATGTAATTATTTTTATATATTTACATTTATATATCTATCCCATGTCTGCATAAATTCATGGTATCTGTGTATAGACATGCTATATATATAGTGCTGTTATGTATATGTTAAAAGTTGCTTTAAATAATCTGTAAAACAGCAGATGGAATACTT